CACAAACACACCTGCCATTGGCTGTAGCAAACCCCAAATGCATGATCACTTAGTTCTACTGTCTTGTGATTAAAGCTTCTGAAAGGTTGAATCTAAAAGTAGAATCTATAAAATACCAAAAATCATTCATGCATAATTATGTGTTTTACATTGTGTATAATTATGTGTTGATTCACATTATTCATTTTAAATGCCTTGCCTTCTGGACATGCTTTCATAACTGTGCACATTTATTTTATGCAAATCAACACCTAGAATGGCCTTAAGATGTATGCATACAGGTGAATGACTATATGGCAGGAATAAAGGAGAAATATTATGGAAACTGTTGGCAGTTTACAACCCTGCATTTGCATCCCTTCAAAATGATTTCTTGTGTATCATCTCATTCTCAGCCCAGTTACAAGCCCACGAAGTAAATTAATAAATGCCGTGAGTCAGAGTATGCATTCAGGAATAATGTAGACACTTTTACATAACAAATTTATCTATGTAGCTACATGATGTTTATATAAACAGTTATACATCATAGGTTGGATATCCAAAGTGTCTCTGGATTCTGTCCATTTCTCACTTTCCCACAATGTTGGGAAGTTTCGACCTCTTCATCCCTTGTCTACACTTCTCCTCCTCTCCAATCTATCCCACACACATACTGCCCTCAACATCCTCTATCTAAACAAACACAGGTCTAGTTACATCCTCCTCTGCTTAAAAATACACCACACCTTCCCACTCTCCACCTAACATTTCACCTATGGGCCTGCTAAATAACTAGAACAGACCACAGCAGGTAAAACCATCCCTTTGAAAATATATGCTTTGTCTTTAAAATGTATGCATCTTTTTTTTCATTCTAATCTATAATTTATATTTGTGGGACTTAATGCAAATATCATGGTTTGGATTGTTTCCATTTCTAGGAAAATCTGCTATGGCAAGCTGATCCTGCAGCTTCACAAATCCCCTGGCACACCGTCTCCTCATGCCCTCAGAGATACCCAGACTAGGACAAAACCTCAACTCTGCAGAAGCACTCTAGATACCTCACACTCTGTTCCCCTCCTGTCTCTGAACTCAATGCATACTTCCTCCCCCAAAAATAATCCTATCCTTCATCTTGTAAGGTATATTTCTAGAAACTAATTCTTACCAAAAAAATTTGTAAAGAAAAATTAGTTTGGTCAATACTATATGTATCCCTCTTTTAGAAATTCTCAATAAACATAGGAACACCCAATATTCTAAAAAGTCTTACAGCAAAACCTGTAGCCAAGAATAACTGAGAGTGAGCACTTCTTAAAACCTACCTTGCTGAAAGTGTCCTGTCCTCCACCAAAATCTTCTCACCCTGCCCCCATCACCTGGAGAGTCGTTCCTACTTTCTCCAACTGGCAAATTCCTACTCAATTTTAGAAATCTAACTACCTCCACTTTGAAACCATTCCCAGCCACCCTCGCTGGAAATAAATGTTTTCTCCTATGTGTATTTGTAGCACTTTGTATAGGCATGTATGTTAAATTACACATGTGGTAATCATGGATCTACATGTCAGTCTCCCTAGCCAGACTGTGAGTTTTATTATTCTTTTTAAAGATTTTGTTTATTTATTTGACAGAGAGAGTGAGAGAGCACAAGTAGGGGGAGCAGTAGAAGGAGAGGGAGAAGCAGACTCCACGCAGAGCAGGGAGCCCCATGCGGGTCTCGATTCCAGAACCCTGGGATCATGACCAGAGCCAAAAGCAGACGCTCAACCATCTGAGCCACCCAGGTGCCCCAGACTGTGAGTTTTAAAAGTAGAAACCATCCCTTATTCATTTATGAATCCCCAGAATCTACCAAAGTTCACAAAACGAGTTCAGTAAATATGTGTGGAATAAACTGGTGAAATAGAAATGATCTTTCATGAAAATAAAATATGCAGCATCATATGCCATCTCCCTATCACTCCAGCCAGGAAATCTCTGCTGGCAAAAAGGGGAACAAGAAGACTTGGAGAGCAGGGTAATGGTCTCTAGAACAGCCCAGTCAGAGTGAGTAAATGGCCCATATTAACCAAATTTATAAAAAGAATCTAACGCCAGTCAAGACTGTCACATGAATCCCTTATGAGAGCCACTGTATCTCTGTCCAGGGTGCTAAGATTCCAGCTGGAGAGCCCTGGCTCTGCTTCAAAACCAGGCAGAGCCAAGTCCGAATAGAATACAAATGTTTGCATATTTCATTATTTCAGATATAGAGACTTCCTTTCCACCTAGGATCTCAGGACAGTCTCACTCAATCAGCTACAGTTCAGCCAGTTTAAGTAAATTAAGCTAACTGTCCTGCAAAAGAAGTTACCAACTCCAAAGGAGGCAAGATGCAAAGCACTTGAAAGTCAGATGTGGGTTTTCCTTGAAGCCCTGCCTCTAACCAATGAGCAGCTTTGGGCAAGTGACCACACCTTTCTAGGCATCAACTTCCCAACCTCTGAGTTGAGTAGCTACATAATTAAGAACTAGCAAACCTTCAGTGAATTACAGTGAACGTCAACCACTTTTTCTTATTTAATCCTCTTGAAACCCTGTGAAGTGGGTATTACTACTCTCATTTGACACATGAAGAAACAGGGCTTAGAGAGGTAAAGTAATTTGTTCAAGGCCACACCATGAGCTCACAGCATTGCCTGCCTACGAAGTTCAACGGGTTCACGGCTGGATGGCCAAGGTGAGACCAAGGCTTTTTCCCTTCCCACCTTCCCATGACCTCAGGATGCTCATGGCTGCCTTCACGTGTGTTTTTCTAGCACTGGAATGATGATGATACCCAGTACTCATGATTTTTGTTAGTTTTTTAAATTTCCTAACTTGACACAAGCTTGTCTTTGTCACATCACGTAACTCTAGCTGACACCTAAACTTCTCATAAGACCCCCAAATCCCTCATTTAACCTGATTCCTTAAGGATCTCTTAAAAGAGGCAAAAGCACCCAGAAAGAAGCTTGCAGCTGCACAATGAGTGATCTCCTCTCCAAAGAGACTGCCACAGACTTAGGACTGCTCCGCTTGCTCACTATTCCTGCTCCTTGGCTAAGGAGCCACTGTACCTTCACATGCCATCCAGCCAGCCAGAGGACCACTCCAGAGAGGCTCCTTGTCTATGTGGAGCATACCCATGGTGAGGCTACCTGGCTGGCTGGAGCCAGTCCTGGGCAAATGGGGTGGGGGAGTGTGGCTTTCACCTTCTCAGCCTATCATGCACCACTTGTGAAGTGTGTTTGCTTAGCTGACAGGTCCTCTGTCCAGGTGTGCAGGGGTGGAGTGGGGAGTGTTGTTTGGTTTGGTGCATTTGATGAAAATGACCATAGTCATGTGCTAGCTTTGTGGTCTCTTAAATTTGCCTTCACATCTTTAGCTCATCACAGTGACCAGTGAAATGCTATTGTGTCTATTTCATTAACAGCAAAGTACAGACTCAGGACACTTACAAAACTTACCTAAGAGCAACCATCCAGAAACTGTCAGAGCCGGAACCCACCAAGGCTCCCAAGTACAAATCCTGAACCTCTCAAAGTAACAGAGAAGTTGATCTTTAATAAGGTACTTGCCTCCCCAAACACCCAGAGCCTTGTGCCGCGCCCAAAGCCCCCACACTTCCATTTCTCTGACCCGGCTTCATTCAATACTAGAGCTTCTTTTTCAGCCTCTCTTCCCCTAATTCCAAATCTGCATCCTTTCCCCTCTCCTGTAATCCAAGCTCTGTAAACAGCAATTTTTGTTCTTTTGTAACCTGTACAACAGCACTTGCCTACAGCCCTCCTGTTAGTCATCATGTCATCACATAGACACTGAGTATTTTAAAGCAGAGTTCTGTCTGCGGGAGGAAGTGCACATTTAATGCAGGTATAGTATGGAAGAGGAAGCCATTCATCACGGCAATTTTAACTAGGTTAAGTGATGTAACATACATCAGTGTGGTAGTGTGGGTATTCTTTATTTGTAGGATTATGAAATATCACCTGTCTTCTTACACCACCCATCTGCACCCCTCTGGTGGATAGTAGCACTTTCTATGTGGAACTGAGGCTATCTGCACACCTCTTTCCTACCACAGTTTTCCCTCCCCCTGAACACCATCGTCCCTGTGCCCCAGAACAGAGTCTAATGTCTTGTACAAACTAGACACAGAAATCCATTTATAATGAATTAAACACTTTTGTAAAATATTTGTATTGTATGAAGGATATGTCAATGAACTCTGATCATTCAAAGCAGTCTAGAAGAGCAAAAGAAAAAGAAATTTACACACACTATACATATCTGTCAACTAAAGTGAGCACTAGTAAGTCCACAAAGAAAGAACCCCATGGGGCTGGGAGCAGCTGCCTGAAGGAACAGACAAGTGTATCTCGAGTGTGGAACCTTGCTCACCATCAGAGCAGAACTACCAGCACTACTCCCACCAGAAAGAAAAAAAAAAAAAATAGCCCATTATTGGAATTAGGGCAAGGGGTGTGTAAATGCTCACAGCTGGCCATCTGCCTGGACAGATTAACCAGCTGCAAAGCCCAAGGCCAAGCCCCTACCCAAAGAGGCTACATACTACAGGCGGCAGAAAAGTCTAGAGATGGCTAAATGGACACGGACAGCATGCTAACACTTATACCACAATGGGTACTAAAATGTGACCATTTGGAAATACCCTATTCTTTGATTCTGGCTCAGGATGGGGATACGTTCATCCTGAGTTTCCAAGCTGAGGGAAAGGTGGGACTGAAGTACCAACGCACAGGTGGCTGGGACAGTGGAACATGCTTCACCGGGTTCCTTCTCGGCGGGAGGGGAAACTGAGGCACGCAGCAGCGGGCAGGCCCCGGTTAGGGGCAGAGCGCTGGCCCTCCTGGCCTTGAGCCAGCAAGCGTGTCCCAGCCAAGCTACACCGCCTGGCCGCCTGATGCCTCCGCCACCCCTCCGAACCCACAGCGGGGAGAGGACAGCCTTGCGGCCGCGGCCGAACTCACCACGTCCATGATCTGCAGGAGACTCAGGGAGAAGTAGACGGTGAGCGGCTGCGAGTCGTTGGCCACGGGCCTCTCCAAGGGGTTGTAGTTCTTGACCAGCTCCTTGTAGAGCTTCCTCTGGAACTCGCCTTGCAGGGACACTTAAGGAGAGGAGAGCCCGGGGGGCTGCTCAGGGAAGGCCAGCGGGGATGCGCCCCACGCCCCCTGCCCGTGACCCCCGCCGCCTAAAGCAAGCAGCCCAGACGAACCGGGCTCGCCCTTCCCGGACAGCCCCCGGTAGTGCCACCCACCGTCCCTCCTCGCGCGATTCCCCAAAGCTGGCCCCGGCGCCGGGAGCTCGGAGCCGCCAGAATGCTCCCGGGATCCCGCGGAGGAGGAGTGGAGGGCTGGGAGACTCGGGGGCTTTACCGTGCAAGAGCGACGCGGCCAGCGCCAGCCAGACCGACCGGCGCATGTTGGGACCCGGAGCCGCCACCCGCCCGCACGCCGCGCGTCTCGCGGATCCGCCCGGGCCTGCGCCTGCGGCCGCGGAGCCGCCTCTCCCGGCTTGGCTCGCGCGCCTTTAAAGAGCCGAGCGCGCGCCCCCGCCCCTCCCGCCTCCGCGCGCTTCTCCACGTGACGAGCCCCGCCCCCGCCCCCACCCCAGTCCGCCCGCGGGGGCCTAGGAGACTCCGCGGCTGCCCGGGGAACTGCAGCCCCGCGGGGGTAAGGGGAAGTGCACCCCGGCGCTGGTTACAGTGTGGGCACCCCGCCCCGCCTCCGTCTCCACCGGGCTGTCCCTCCGCATCGCGCCTCCGGCCAAGCCGGGGGCTGTCCAGGGCCAGGCTCTGTCTCTCCCTTCTGTCCTTGGTCCCCACTCCGCTCCCTCCTGCTCTCAGACAGAAGCTGCGCGGGGTCGTTGGGAGAGAGCGGGACAATTCTGGGGTGCAGTCCTCCAGGGCCCTACCTCCCTTACGCCAGTGGCTAGGTGACAGCGACTGGGAACCAGGCTCCCACAGGTTGGGAAGTCTCTCCAACCAGAAACAACAGACCTGAGAGGAAGCCCCCTTCTACCCCCGGCCCGGTATTTTGTCAGCAACCGTTTGCTGGGCATCACCAGCCCGATTCTCATTTAGGTTCTGGAAGTGCTGAGAGGAGAGGGGAAATCTCTGCCTGGGAGACATTCTATAGGGGAGGAGAAGAACTGCAAAAGTGTGTGATGGGATTCCCAGTGGACATCCTCTTTATGTCTCATTCTTTTTTAAAGGAGATTTGAAAGATTGAAAAGTTACTCCCCCAAACCCTTTCTGGAAGGCCAGCCAAAATTTGGTGGTGAGATCTAGGCTTTTTATTTATTTATTTTAACCTGGGAGAGAGTTAATTGATAAGGGGAGGCTCAGGGGGGGGGGGGGGGGAAACAGTCAAAGGGTCAGGGGCTAAGCCGAGTCCTAGATGTTAAAGATGGGGGCATGGTTTTGGGTGAGCAAGGGAGTTAAGGTACTGTGGAGGGGCATCTAAAGAGGCGGAAAGCCCTGTCCCATTTGCTCTCAGCAAGCAGGTTGCAGAAAGCTGAGTGCAGTAGGTTCCCTGCGCACACGTAGGGGGCGCTGCGGCTCGCCTTGGTTCAAGCCCCAGAGTGTTTGAACTACATCAAGAGCTCGGGCACTGTGGACCAGCCTAGGCAAGGCCCACATTTCGGAACTGCGTTCTTGGATGACATCAGAAACTAGAGAAAGGCTCACCAAAACGTGACTACCCTTGAATATACTCCAGCAGCAGGAATGGACGACTGAGCCAGTTATTTGATTTGGAAAAACAAAGAAATACAACAGCCTTGCAAAGAAGTGTCTGATAGCAAATTCACACCTGTTAACTGAGGTGTTTTTTTATACACACATTTATAAACAAATGATCAGTGTAGGCTTTGATAACTGCGATAGGGTCCTCGCGGAAGCAAAGAAACTGGAGAAGGGTTCATAGAAATGACAGCGGACCTGGGCTTGCCACAAAGAAGGTGTTCCGCCAGAAGATGGGAACACCAGGGCAGGGGTTCTTGTGAGCGGACAGGTGTGCTCTTAGCTTCAATCAGGGCTCCTGAGTTATGCAATCTGTGGCCGCCTAGATACACACAGAGCTGGCGCCCGTGAAGAAATGAGCTAAAGGATTGCAGCTGCTGGCAAAAAGGAACTAAGAGAAAGAAAATAAAACAACAGAATAGAAGGGGCATGAGAAGCATCAACAGGAAGATTCTAACAGGCACGCCATGTCCACTGGTCACGTGAATGCAGCGCTGGCTCTCAAACACATTTTCTGGAAGCGTCTAAAACCCCTGCCTTCCTTTCTAGAGGGGACAAGGGAATTCATATACCTTGAGTTTAGTCATTGGGTTCACTTTCCTAAAAGCATAACTGCTTCCTTACATCCCTTATACCCATAATATCAGAAACCTAGAAATAAACTATTTTCAGTGGGATAACCAGTCAATTGGTTTTTATTTATGCCCTGTGATCTGCCAGGTGCCTGAAGGAACTACGAACATAATCCACTCACTCAGTTTACAGTTTAGAGCTGACCTGAGTGTGGAAAAATAAATTCCAGTCTGTCTGTGCCCATAAGTAGGTCTGTGAGTTTGGCTATGTTCCCCTCCATGTATGGGACTAGGCTTTTTCATTTGTAAAATAAAGTAGTAGGACATCTGGGAGTTGAGCTGACAGAGCTGCATGTCCCTGTCTTATTCTCATTCCCTACATGAATGGGAAATGAAACTTAAGAGTAGATTAATACATACTTGAGCTTAGAAAAGCAGGGACCAGAAATAAATCCAGAGTAGTTACTAACAAGCTGGTGCTGTTACGATAGTCCAGGGGAGGGGCACATCTGGACATGGGCTCCAAGGATAAGAGTCTGAAATTTTAACATACCCCAATGAAGCAACCTGGCCTTGAGTCTATGAGAGTTGAGGGAATGGAATGAAGATATCCACCTAAATCTGGAGTCTGGAAAAATCTCCCCTTCCATGTAAAAGAGACCAGTAAAGCCCAACCATGACCAAGGGTAATGGGAGGAAACATATTTTCTGCTTTGACTCTGGATAGGGGGAAAAAGATAACTAAAACCCAAAAACACATAGTGTTTAGGTATGTGTCCAAAGGTATACTACCCACATGGTTTAGAATTCAAGAATTCCCCTGTAGCAAGACTTCTATAATTTCCCATACATGGGACTCAAAAAAATTAGGACTTTCATGAAAATGAACTCAAACTATATATATATATATGAAACCCACACAGAAATAAACTACATGCCCTATGAGGCAATAGTCAATAGTAAGGGAAAGTACACAGGCAGAATAAACAGAAAGTTAGTACCCCACATTTGAAATAATAGGATGATCTGGGGAAAAAAACCTATAAAATAAGTATGTTTAAAATTCCAAAGTTATTGATCCTGGTGATTAATATCAGCTGCAGTAATAAACCACAAATCCTATTGGCATAACACTATAAAGTTTATTGCTCCCTCATACCATAATCACAAAGTTCCAGTGACCTTCCTAGGAAGCTAAGCTCCTCAAATCTTTCAGAGATGCAAGATCCTTTCAACAACTGGATTGACTATGTTCTGAGGACCAGAGGAATGTGCTAACTGAAGTCTCTGCTGAAGCCTCAACATTTACACATCTTGCAAACAAGTAGGAGTGTACCAGGGCCAGGCCTGGAAGTTGCTTGTAGTATTTCTGCCCACAATCCTTTGGCCAGAGTCACTTGATCACAACCTCAAGGGAAGCTAGAAAACGGTCTTATCTGGGCCTGAGATGAGAAAATAAAGGTAAGCAGTGTTAGTAATATAGTATACAAGGAATAAAGTAGGAATTAATAGCATAGGGAAAGAACAAAGCACAAAGGAATAGAAACAAACAGAAAATAAAATATGAGCACCTAGGAAAAAAACTCATAGCAATTAAAATTGAAAATTTATGTTAAAGAGGAGATTGGCTAATGATGAAGAGAACATTGGTACTCTGGGATCAAGAGCTGAAAAAGGTACCCAAAAAAATCACCCAGATAAGAAAGGTTAAGGGATGAGAAGGGTAGAATAAGAACTCATCTAATAGGAGTCCTAGAAAATATTGATAAAAAGAATAGGTGAGAAATTATTTAAAGAGAAAATGACTAAGAATTTTCAGCACTGAAAAAAAAAGTAAATCTCAAATTGAGAAAGTACAAGAAGCAAGGATCATGTCAAATAAAAGATTCATCACTAGGTAGTGAAGCTGATGAAACTACTAAACAGGAAAAATACAACACAGATTTTTAAGGGAGACAAAGAGTAGCAGCCTACATGCAAATCTAAATAATCAATGACTGTTAAATAATAAGAATAATTTGGAAGGGAAAAGGTGTAATTGAAGACATTTCTGGTCCTTGAAAGATGGCAGATTCAGGTAACAGGCAAAATCTGCTGCAAAAATAAACCCATCTGGCCAAAATTACAAAGTATATTGGAGATCGAAAAATTTGCTTTAATAAATTTGATCTCATGAACATTTAAAAAAGCATACACACCCAACAATTAGTGAAAACACATTCTTCTTAAACAAATGAAATATTTACATAAGGTTCCCCCTTTTCATTCTTAATATTATTTTTGTATATTCTTTTATTTTTTCTTACTCTATTTTTTAAATTAAATTTAATTTTATTATGTTATGTTAGTCACCATACAGTACATCATTAGTTTTTGATATAGTGTTCCACAATTCATTGTTTTCATATAACACCCAGTGCTCCATGCAATATGCGCCCTCCTTAATAGCCATCACCGGCCAAACCCTCAGTTTGTTTCTCCGAGTCCATAGTCTCTCATGGTTTGTCTCCCCCTCCGATTTCCCCACCTTCATTTTTATTAGTCTTTTAGTTTTTTCAAATAACCACATTTTAATTTTGTTGGACAACACTATTATGTGTTTGATTATTTTTTCATTAATTTCCTATCTTTTTTAATTCTTTCCTGCCTCTATGCTTCTAGTTTATTTCTATTTTAACTTCTCAGTTAAATAATCACATCATTAATGTTTAATGTTTTTTTTTTCTTGTCTAATAAAAAAACCGACCAAACTACTAAGGCTAGTTAAATACTGTCAGAAGAAAGAAATATAGGGCAGTACAACTTACAGAATTAGATGCAGAAAACACATTACAACAACATACCAAATCCAAAAAAGTGTAACAATTCATAATAATCAAACAGGATCATATTAGTCGACTACCATAGTAAAATAGGCCAGTCTTGGTGGCTTAAACAACAGAAATGTATTTTCTCATCATTCTAGAGGCTGGAAGTCCAAGGTCAAGGAGCTGTTAGGGTAGGTTTCTGGTTAGACCTGGTTTGCAGGTGGCCTGGGTTGCAGATGGCCACCTTTTCACTGTGTTCTCACATGGCCTTTCCTCTGTGCACACATAGGGAGAGAGAGT